GTTTAAGTGCCGCTAAGCCTAATCCTCTTCTTGAAGGCGGCCATTGTTTGTTTACATTTGAAACAGCAGACTAGTGGATTTGTTGCCAATCTAGAGAAACTTAGCTTCGCAATAACGAAGATAACGCCTTCATTTATTATTGCGAATTAAATTATGCTTAATCCTTTCTGGAATTTTTTCCAGGAAATAAGTGTTTAAGATTTACTTCGTAATTTTTAATATAGATATTTTGAGTTTTTATGTTTTTGCCTTCTCGCGAAGTGAGAAACTGAATTAATTGAATGAGAATACTCAATCGTCTGTGAAAACTCTTTCTTTTTTTTGTTTTTTTTTGCTTAATTTCTTTTATACATTGTTCTAGCTTTATTATAGTATTTGAATAGAAATGTGGCAACGATTAGATAATTCTATTCTTTAAATGATATAAATTTTCCTCATGGACTGAGGAAACGGCGTTCGCCAAAGTCCTCACCTCCTTTCTTCTTGCTCAAAGCAAGATTGCTACAGAATATAAATTTTGTGCATTATGAGTTATAATATGAACGAAATATAATACTGTTAAGTGAATCTAGCGCCAGAGTGTCGCTATGGTAAACAAATACTAGAGTGAATTTTAAAGAATGCATTTATTCTATTGTGGATTATGCGCTGTCGGCAAAGTAGATTTAATTCAGTCCAATAAGTGTAAATGAAATGCAAGAAAAAATGCGTATAATTTAATATTCCGTACAAGGAAGTCATGTGGTGTACACATCAGATTTTTTACAAATGAGAAAAAGATTCAATACAATTTTTATACACATCTTTTCTCAATAATACACGGATTTCCAAAAATTAAGGAAAAAAAATCACAGGAATAGCGAAAATTCTTTCAAAATTAAGGCAATCCGTATAAAATTTGAATATGTTGTGAAATATGAATTGTTGAGTAAAACTGCAGTATGCATATTAAGGGTCGCTGAAATAGAAATATATCATCTGCGAGGAAGATAAAATTGCATTAATTTGTTCTGCCACTTTATGGAAGCACCTTGTAGTTATGCAGAATTTTGCACATCAAGTTTTGTATAATCGAAGTCTTGTTCGTAACTTAAGAAAGAAATTAATCATTACGCAAATTTGCGAGTATTGTACTATGCAAAGATAGAAAGCGAATATCATTCATTCCGAAAGGAATAATTGGAAGTTTCCGCAAAAGTTATTAATAAAGGAGTTTTTTAATGCGGTTTTAAATCACTTCAACTAGTAAAGGATTGAAGAAATCGATCTCTGTAAGTCTTTCATCTCAAAAGATGTTTATTAGACAACAAATTTGACATACAGAAGCCACATTGATTAGCATTTCTGAAACACTTTGAATAAAATATAGAAGGGACATACATTCTGTAATCAGTAGCTGTCGGATGGATGTTTTTAATACAATATTTTCGGTATCCGAATTATTAAATTCGTCCACCTTTCACAGTCGTTTTCCAAAACTGTATACTATATGGTTGAGAGATTGGGGTCAGTTTGAGATCTCACTTCTGATGAATGTCTGGGAAGTTCTTATAAGGTATTAAACTTTAGCATGCCAGTGCAGTAAAGTATCTCCAGATAATTTTTAAATTCTTTTCGGCAATAACCTGCCATCAAAATATTCCTTTAAGCGTTCGAAGACATAATTAGTTCTATGAGGTAGCTAATCATTTGTGAGAAGCTGGGAAACACAGGCGAAGAAATTGAAGTTAAAGCAGAAGCTTTGTTTGACACAAAGAAAGAAAAGGGGGGGGGCGGGAAGAACAGTCGAAAACCTTCGAATTCGTTTTCTATATCTTTTACCAGCATAAGAATGTCATTGCAGTATTCAAGCATTTTACTTATCTTAAAATATGATTGAAATATTTCGCATCTATTGTTGGTTCTCGACTTTGTTTTTACTCAAAAATATCTCTATTACAAAATGTTCGTAAATATACGATATATCTTTCAATATATAAACGTGTATTTAACCACTAAAAGTAACCACATGCTTTTTATATTGCGGCAAAATTTCTCAACCCGTTAAACCGGAAATCAACTTTAAATTATTTTTAGTAGCCCGAAGCGGCAATTAGCCCAGAAAATCTATTAATTTCGTTTTGACATTTTGTGTTGAGTCACCATATACGGCGAATCACTTTTAAAATTGTTGCTACCAAATATTATCGCACTGTATTATATTTAAAGAGATTAAATAATGAAGAATCTGCATAAATGTATGTATGTTTCTCGCACTGGGATAAAACAACGGTACCCGGAGCCATCAAATTTTGAATAATGCACCACTCCATGTGAATATGGGTATCTGGAAGCCCAAATTTTGAATTTGTTTTATTATCTATTTCATGTTTTGTAAAGCATTTATAAGCTTTTGATTAAGAAATTCAACGATTTCAAAGCGGGCAATGGCAACATTGTACGAAAAAAAAAAATTATTACCAGCGCGCGAGACTTTGCATTGGAAATTCTAAAGATATGCTCTTTTAAATATTTTGTGATATTACTGTTGAATTGAATTTTATGATTTAAAGCGAAGAACATGATATTTAACAAATAAAGGTAACACACAAAGCTTTAAGAAAAATATCCTTTGGGCTTAATATAAAATCTTAAAGCTTTCAGGTTTTTTCATTCATTCATTCATTAATTTTGAGCTTATTTTTGATCTACCGTTTATATTTTTACTTGTCGCCATCTATCAAGTTTAGTGGGTTCTAACCTGTTAAAACGGAAATTACTTAAAACGAATTTGTGCTTAAAAATTAAGATAAAGTTTCACTTGTACATTTTTTGTTTTGCTTCGGAAAATTTTTGTAAAGCAAATTTCAGGACTTTCATGCAGCCGTTAATTTTCTCTGATAGATTTCAAATGCAGAAAAAGATTTTTAAACAGCATTCATCAACTCTGCATATATGAAAATTTTCTGTTACTGTTTTAAAATATTGAAAGTCCATTGAAATGTGTTTTAAGAAGTATGAAAGTTCAGTTATACTTTTCAAATGTATTGTTATGAATTTTGTATATATGTAAATTGTAGTATTTCTTGCATAATTTAACATGAAAGGCCGGAAAAACAAGTTACAGAGGTAAGTCCATTTAAAATTGATGTAAATAGCTATTTCGCCAAACTGGCGGGATAGTGTCAAGCAGACGATTGTTTTTGCGCCTAATTTTTACCGCCAAATTAGGCGACACATTGCCAGAAGTCACCAAACTTGGCGATATTTTAGTCCTATACCTATGTAACTGTAACTGGTCTGGTACCTACGTAACTGTAATTGTAAGTGCGTATGCTATCAACAATTTCGAGAAATCGAAGGTACTAGAAATTTCTTGGTGGACAGGGCAAAACTATAGAACACCGGAGAGAGCGTTAATTTTGTTAAGCTCAATAGAGTTTAGCTTAAAGTATTGAGAGATCATTAAACGAGCGTACGGATTTGAGGTTTTTAGCCCAAAGGAGCAATTTTCCCAGATTTCCCTTTAAACGGCGTTTCACTTTTCATAGTGTTGCCACCAAATATTACAGCTCTGCATTATATTTAAAGAAATTAAATAATGAAGAGTCTGCATGTTTCTTGCACTAAATACCGAAAAAACAACGGTAGCTAGAGGACATCAAATTTTGAATAACGTAGTCCTCCACTCAAATATGGGCATCTGGAAGCCCAAATTTGGAATTTGTTTTGTAGGGTTTATATTTATTTTAACTAACATTTATTTTAAGCTATCTTTCCTGTCAAGCCTTTACTTTTCCCTAGAATTGCCAATGCCAGAGTATGTAAATTTTAGTAGAACGCGCAGAGTATTCAAATTTTCAGCAGAAGTAATTTGAGTTAAATAGAAGGGAAACGAGTTTGTAGGTGTGCTTTCTTGATTCACGAGCGTGAAGGTTGCTAGGTAGAAATTTAAGAACCGCGCGTTTCGGCCTGTGTGCCTACTTCGGCAGTTAGTTTAATCTTTCAACTTCTTATTCAGAAAGTTTGCTGAAATCTCAGCTGTATCTTAGAACGCGGTTAAGTTAGTCACGTTTATAGAGCCTCGTAGGTAGTGAGTTGTTATTTATTCATTTTTAGTTGTACTTTCTTATTTTTATTTAACCGCCGGGTCGGCGTAGTTTGTGAGCGTCAAGTCTGTAACTTCTAAAGTGGAATAAAAAGGGAGTTAAACCCTTCTTAAGAGTTTGTGTAATTTCCAGTTCATAGCAGTCACTACTACTGTTGCGGGCAAGTTGGGGCCACGCAACACCACAGTTTCATTATGTATTTCATATTTAGTAAAACTTTAACGAATTTTTGATTAACAAACTCAACGATTTCAAAGCAAGCAATGGCAATGCTGTACGAAAAAAAAAAAACATTTTTATTTCCAGCGTGCGAGACTGTGTATCGGAAATTATAAATATATGCTATTTTAAGTAATTTGTGATACTGCTGTTGAATTGAATTTTACGGTTTAAGCGCGAAGAACATGATATTTAATAAATAAATGTAATACACAGAGCGTTAAAAAACGCCCCTTTGGGAGTAATATGAAATCTGAAAGCATTCAGATTTTTTTTTTTTAAATATTATCTTGTATTTAACATTCTTAGTAGTTTGAAGTGTCAACTACTGACTGTGCTCTGTCGCAACGAGAAAGCTGTGCGAGTACTTTTTTGAAACGTTCCAGAAGTGTAAATTATTTCTTTTGAGAAAAGTAAATCTTATCAAGCTGTCACTGATTCTGTGTGCATTCAAACCATTATGAACGTAACAGTATGAAATGCTTTTCAGAAGCTTTTTTAGCAGTACCAGTCTTAGTTATTTTTCGGGTGAAGTTTCGAAATTTGGAAAAGGAAGTTTCAAATATTTTGGGAAACTTAAAAATCTTAAATTTGTTTATTTATATTTCCTAAATGACATATTAATAAAGTCAGCGGTGCTATTTAAAATGCGAAATTAATTGTTAATAAATTTTATGTTTGTTTTTTCTAGTTCACGACATTATCCATGATGGCCCTATTAACGCACTCCTGTTTCCTTTTTTGCCACCCGACGCCCTGGAGGACTTACCAGCCTTTGTTCCTGCCCGGGCCCCAATTTTGCCCGGATACTGGTAGGACCGTCTGCACCACTGTCGACTACTACCCAACGTACTCAAAACTATTAAGTATTCTGACAATTTTAGCTGTTTAACTTTTACTATAATTTATTCCTGTGTATTTCAGTTTGCTTTTAATTGCAGATATGAACTAAGACCATTCTTTTAATAATAGTTCACTTAAATATATAGTTCGACCGCCTCATTCGCGACCATGAGCGGGAACACGCATGCGCCATTTGGACCGAATTATGCTCAAAATAGGGTGGAAGGAAGGGGACTTTCTTTCTTTCGAGCACATGAATTCTCTCTTTCCAAAGAAGAGAAGAATTTCACGTGACCGTTCATGTCGCCGGAAGTAATAACGCCCCTTTTAGATGAGTATATGTGTTTTGGCAGAATGCCAACCAGGGTTGCGTTTGAGACGGTTGAATTATAAAACTTTTTGAACAAACTTAAAAATAACCTGCAGGTTTTAATCAGCTTTGTAAATGAAGATGAAGCTTTCTAAATGAAAATTAAGAAGCTTGTTATGAAGGAGGTTTCTCTATCACATCAGAATTGATATATGAGGGATGGAATGTTTATAGGAAACAGGGATTGGACATTCATGGAATCTTCAAGTTCTCGAATCCTGCGAATCTTGAAAATAAATTGAGATTCGAAAGCTCGAATATTTCTTATCGAATATTCAAATCTTAGCTAAAAATGTTAAATGATTTAATTCCTAATCCTAGAAGACTAATTTTATTAATGCAATGCTGTTCATTAGAAAGAAATAAAAAGAGACAGAATTCAAAATTTGAACAAACTGTCTGACTTTGGGAAATGTTATTAAATGCATTGTAGTGTTTATATTTATTTTAACTAACATTTATTTTAAGTTTAAACTATCTTTCCTGTTAAGCCTTACTTTCCCCTGGAATTGCCAATGCCAGAGTATGTAAATTTTAGTAGAACGCGCAAGGATTCAAATAGTCAGCGGAAATTTCTGAGTTAAATAGAAGGGAAACGAGTTCGAAGGTGTGCTTTCTTGCTTCACGAGCGTGGAGGTGGCTAGTTAGAAATTGAAGAACCACGCGTTTCGGCCTGTGTGCTTGCCTTGGCAGGTTGTTAATCTTTCAACGTAATATTCAGAAGTTTGCTGAATTACCAGCGGTATTTTAGAACGCGGTGAGGTTAGTTACGTTTAGAGAGCCTCGTAGTTAGTCACTGGTTACTATTCTTTTTTTTAGTTTCTTATTTTTATTTTACCGCCAGGTCGGCGTAGTTTGTGAGCGTCAAGAGCACGCATTTGTAACTTCTAAAGTTGAATCTTCTAAAGTTGAATAAAAAAAAAAGCACGTTGTAACTTCTAGTGAATAAAAAGGGATTTAAACCCTTCTCAAGACTTTGGTCTACTTTCCAGTTCTTAGCAGTCACCACTATTGTTGCGTGCAGGTTGGAAGCGCGCAACATTACAGCATCACCAACAACAGCAGTGTCAGAAGAAGTCCGATTTTGTGTCAAAATACCTACATTTGAACAAGGCTATATATAAATCTAACAAATATCCTAAGTTCCGCTTTCGAGACATGAAAAACGCAGTTTGAATTTCGTCAATCGGCCCAGTAGAACGGGAGATATAGAACTGTCTTCCCTTTTTTTTCCGCAGTGTACAATGGTAATTTTAGATAGATCTTAAAAATAAATATAAACCTAGAATACTTGTAAAGTTTATGTAACGTAAATGTAACGTTTTAAAAATTACACCGTTAAATCACAAACCTATTAAAAATAAATATAAACCTAGAATACTTGTAAAGTTTATGTAACGTAAATGTAACGTTTTAAAAATTACACCGTTAAATCACAAACCTATTAAAAATAAATATAAACCTAGAATACTTGTAACGTTTATGTAACGTAAATGTAACGTTTTAAAAATTACACCGTTAAATCACAAACCTATTAAAAATAAATATAAACCTAGAATACTTGTAACGTTTATGTAACGTAAATGTAACGTTTTAAAAATTACACCGTTAAAATCACAAACTTACCTCTTATTTGCCAAAAACATCACTGTCGCGAAAAATCTTCAAAAGCAAAGTGAAGAAATGATCAGTTTCTCTTAGCTAAATCTAGAAATGGCCATTCAAACCCAAAATAATCATAAATTATTGTATATTTTGAATTGGCTAATTCTCAAAGTGTTAAATTCAGGCTTCGCCTATCATTTTTGTAAGAGATAAGTAAATGGTCACGAGAATATTTTGAATTATGGCTCAGAAAAAGAATAAAAACAGTAGGACATTATAGCGTAATTCAATCATTGTCAAATGCAGAAAGCATTAATGTATATTACAACAGTACAGTAAAGTCATTCAGAATGGTTCTTAATGAAACTATGTTAGTTTCTTATGGCAACAAGTCTATTAATAATACGTCTGTCGTATGAAAGCAGTTTTGCTGTTATTTGCAAGTGTGAATGTTTTATTCCTCAAGTGCTTTCGCGTAAACGTAAAGGGGAAAAAAATGAAACCGTAGTTCAGACGATGATGAATAATGAACAGCGATGACAGTAGGTGTATATGGAGGTTCTAGTTTTGCATACAAATTTAAATTTAAACAAATTTAAATTCTTAACAAATACGTATAAAAGTAAAAAAGCAAATTTAAATTCTAAAAAAAGGAAAAAAGCCAAAATAATTTAAAATAATTTTTAAAGAATGTGCAAACATGTAAAAGATTTAATTCTCGAACTAATCTACAATATCATTTAAATTCAGAAGCATAAGCAAATCAAGTGTAAAATCTATCCATGAAAACAAATCCACTAATTTAATAAATTAAAATTAAATTAAACAATTTTTTAAAAAATACATATGTGAATGACCGTAGAGTAAGCAGGAAACAGACTTATCAAGGGGAAGTTGCCTCCAAACCTAACTCTCCAATCATTCAATTCGTGTTTCGTCATTCATGCAGGCAAGGGTAAAAGCCAAAAGCAAAAGTAATTCCAATAAAGTGGCATCCCTAGAAATTAACATTTAAGTATTAACATTTAAGAATTAAAGTTCAAAAAGGAAAATACTAATGAAGTCTTTTGAGTAACAAGCAAGTAAAGTCAAGAATTAAACTTTTTCTTAAAAAATTAAATTTTTTAAAAATTAATTTTTATAAAATAATAAAAAAATCTAGAAACCAATGTATTTTAGAAATCCTTGTCTACAGAAACTTCCCCTACACGAATATGCATATCAATAAAAAGAAACTATAAAAGAACTATACATAATCCATATCAACCAATAAGAAACAAAAAGAACTAATTCACAATTTAAAAAAAAAAACAAATATATATTTAAAAATATAATTTCATATTTAGAAAATACTTAGATACTACATAAAAAATTTTAAAAAAATACTTAAAGCAAATAAATAGTAAGTTTTAATTCTAATAGTTCGAGAATTAAATCTTTTACATGTTTGCACATTTTTTTAAAAAATTATTTTAAATTATTTTGGCTTTTTTCCTTTTTTTAGAATTTAAATTTGCTTTTTTACTTTTATACGTATTTGTTAAGAATTTAAATTTGTTTAAATTTAAATTTCATTCCTTGCAGCAATGGCGCAAAGAATATTTAATTAAATATGTATTTAAATTTAATTTTTTAATTAAATTCAGTTTATTCTTATGAAACAATATAATACAAATTTAAAATGACTTTTTAACTGGTTAATTGAATTTATTAAATACAACTACACAGGCATAGCCACTGCTTGTAAAAGAAAGCTTTGATAGACTAGGAATAGAAACGTGCCACAGTAAAACCTTGAAATTAGAGTAGTCAAAACATTTGTCTTATTTTGCCATAGATTTTAAATAAATCTCTGTCAATTTTGAGAGGTATCAGACACAGGTTTCACTTTTTCAAATCCTTTCAACAGAATGTTTTTGCTCCTGAAGAAGAGAGACCCTGTTTGATTGCCTTCGAAATTTTATTTAAAATTTACACCAAAGTAAAGTTGCTGGTTTGCCTAATTTTAAGCTGTAATATGTTTGGAAGACATTGAAGAGGATATTGTCAATAAATAAAGGGATTTCTTATGGAGTCTTACAGAAATATAGTTAATAAACATTTCTAATCATTAGCTAAACACCTTTTAGTTACAGAGGCTGCTCACACATTTTTTAGACGATGTATATTGTATTCACAAAACTAAATTACATAAAATTCTTGTGTTTTAAATGTTCTATTCGACATCCCTTATTCTGAACTATCTTTCGACACCGCAATTTCCAGGATAATAATGCCTTTTGAAGTTGCAGAAGAGGTATTCTATCCCATTCCTCCCGAACAGCTTTCCAGAGTCACGTAGGGTTTTGGGACAACGTTTGGATAATGCAGAAGTCCGAAAGCACAAAAATCCATAGGTGACACATCGGGAGATTGAGTAGGGATATCAGTGAAGGGAATGGCCTTGATACCAGTTTTTTGTTCCATTTCTTTTAGGAAATTTACATTGGATTTTGATGTGTCACTGCTAGCTTTGTCCTGATGAAGTCTCACAGGATGGAGTTCTGATGGAGATTGATGGCACTGTGGATAAAGCGATTGTATTTCATTTAGAAAAATTGGCGATAAAATATGTTCCTGATAGTATTTGGAGTTAATCTTTACATTTTTTTGCACTCTCTTTATTTTTAACTTGCCATTATAAGAAAAACCAGCAACAATCATGAATCGCTTAGAAAAACTTTCTTTCGATTCTTTGAACCATGTAATTAAATTTTTTTCTCCCCTTTTATGATAATAAATAAAATGGCTCTTTTTTTGTTACAATCATTTAAATACATTCATGCTTCATTTATCGGGACAACTGTTTTCCATTTTTCTTTGGATAAGTGTTTCTCATATAGAATTCTGCAGTGTGTCCTGCGTCGAGCGATATGCTTTGGAAGAAGACGATGCACATTGCGTTTTTTCGCTTTCTTAAGATTTAAATCAACGTTTATCATTTTGTTTCATTGGACACAGAGCATTTTAATGATTTTGCAACTGTCCCTTT